CGGGTGTGCGGTGCCTTCCCCTTCCTTTTTATACCATTTTATTACTTTTTAATAACATATATTTTGGGAGTTTTGTTTAATCCGACTTATAGGACAAGGTAAAATTGATAACAGAAAGTTTATTCAAGAATTGCTGACAGACAACCCTTAAGCAAGGAAAGAAAATAACTACCATAAGAACAAAGAAAGATCCCCCAAGAGGAGGGCCGGGAGGGAGGGGCTCGCTCTAGCTCTTCTAATTCAGGACTCTACAATTACAGTCTGGTTCTGCTCTCATGCCTCCAGTAGAACTAATTACATTATTCATAAGTACGAAGGTAACATAAAACTACTGGTCTTTCTAAATTACAAGAACTAAAATAAGCTTGTTGTACGATGACGAGGAAACACAATGTCCTTTATAACAAGTAAATACTAAAAAAGTACAATTTTTATCTTTTTTTCTCATATAAATACATAATATTGGGGATAAATAATACAAAAAAAAGGAAAATATTTTAAACTGGCTATAACCAATAAATATATATGAATGTTCACCAGAACACACACCTATTGAAGGATGTCTCGACTGAGTTGGACGATCGCCCTTCAAAGTTGTTTTTATACCCATTATATGTAAACTCTAAGTGCAACAAAGATGTCCAGACAAGAAAGCATTAGCAAATACTAAGGATCCATTCACTTCTGCTTCGATGGGAGGACATTCCGTTTGTTCAAATTTACCCTGTTTTCACGTAAGTTCAAGAGAAGAGGAGGAAAGAAGTGTAGGACTTCTGAGTCTTAAGATTGCTTTTCTGTTAATGAACCCTAAGAAAAATACCCCAACCCCCTCCCAAAAAACAAAAAGCAAAAAATGGCATCATCAAATGGAGACTTTGCGTCGTCGGAGGCAAAGGCGGGACAATATTCAGACCTGTCAACTCTTTTTCCTCTCTTTGGACTGCTGTTGTTCTGTTGGGGGCTCTAGGTGTTTCAGAAGCATTTTCTGAACCTTTTCCAATTCTTAAGCCGGTCTCATTCTTTATTTTTTATATTTTCTTTTGAGAGGGAGGCAAGGGTGGGAGGGCAAGAACGGGGTTCATGGCACCCGCAGCTGAGTGGGGTTCCAGTTATGGTGGGGCTGGCAGGAAAGTGCTGGATGAGGGAGGCTGCCTTTCCTCCCAAGGCAGGAGGGGAAGCGCAAGGTCTTCTCAAGACGGAATGCGGGAGTTTTCCTGTGTTTTCCTGTGAATCTCTTTCCACTGCATGTGTATACACATGTGTGTGTTTATGCAGATGCAGACACCTACTCTGAAGACTTCGCTGGATGACTATTCTCCTGCCCAGTGTCCAAGAATTATCAGAAATGACCTGTGCTTGGCTTGGAAATGCAGGATGCTGCTGCTAAAAGCTGCTAGACTCCCATAAAACTACCCCAAGGCCACTTCAGAAGCATTTGTGTTGAAACACAGAAGGGACATCTCTTCGGAGAGAGAGACACTTTTGGAAGCAGATGCCGAAATCCTTGGAAACTGTGCCTAATACCACCAAGAAATCATAGCAATGATAACAATAACACGGCAGAAATCACCCCATCAAAAAAAAAAGAGAGATCAACACAAATGTTTCTGAAGCCGAGGCCGCCCCCTTCTCCTCTCGCACAGTGGCGGGGTCTGGTCCGGGTTGCCCCGCGCTGTCCCGCTCTCCATCACAGGTGGGTGAGCTTGGGCGCCTCTTGGATTCTGCCCTGAGAAGAAGCGTGGTGCGTGGAGAGGTCTGTGTACGTGGGGTGGCTCTCGCATGGTCCATGGTGCTGGCTCGGGGGCATCTGCGGTGGCCCGTTGTAGTCCATGTTGGCAGCCTGGTGATGGGGCAGGTGATTGAGGCCGTAAAGGGACGGGCCGGAGGCGGCCATAGAATCCACATAGTTACCTCCAACGTAGACGGGGCTTCCCTGCATGCTGGGAGTCCCGTAGGCCACCCCGTTCCCTTGTAAGACGTGGGGGTCGTACTCGGGCGCCGTGTTGCCGTACTTCTGTTGGGAAGGGCAGCCTTTGATGGGGTTTTGGTAGCTAGTGGACATGGCGTAGGCATTTTGGTGGGGCTTATTGAAGGAAGGCGGAGAGGGGGCATCATAGTTACTGCTCATGGTGTGCAAGGCGTTCATAAACCCGGCCGAGGACTGCATGGGCTGCGGGGGGCTGCCGGGCGGGGAAGGCCCTCCGGAGGAAGACCCCATGCCTTTCGACTTCTGGTCTTTCTTATACTTCATCCTTCGGTTCTGGAACCAGATCGGTGAGGCACAGGGCATGGGCAATCTCTATCCTCCGCCGGCGAGTCAGATAGCGATTGAAGTGGAATTCCTTCTCCAGCTCCACCAGCTGAGCGCTCGTGTAGGCCGTGCGGGCTCTCTTGGAGGCCGAGGAGCCCGGAGGGCTTTTCTCGCCGCTGCAGGTTTCTGCTGGCCGTGAAATGAAATAAAAGATAATTACTTACATGCAGAAATTGAATGCATCGTTTCTTAATAAATCCTGGAACAGGCACAAGAGTTCGACCCCCCTTCCTCTCACCCCCTTTGCATTAGCCTGCACTCCATAATCATGTCATTTATTAAGAGTTCTATTCTCCAAAGCTGCCCCTGGTTTATGAAAATTTGATCATGTCATGTAGAAAAGGATTCCAGGGCCATTTATTTAGGAGTCGATTATTTTCAACAGATAATTTTCAGAAAATAATATTTGGCAGGGGGGCAGCCACTGCAAAGCCAATTAATAGTAACACGGGTCAGTGTTGGGAGGTATTTTGTTCACTGAGGTAGAACACACAGATATCTTGTGCGCTTTGTATTTGTGTAACACAAATATTTACACGCATCTTTAAACACTGAATTACTTTTGCATCTACGTTTTTGCAACATAGACATGTACAAAAGAGATAAACACTAATATAGGGAAGTGTGCGCTGCAAAGTCTGCAGGGATGTATTTGTCAGAACATTGCAGTTCCACCGCGCGCTCTTCTCCCATTTGCCGTAGAGGTGTGTGTGCACGCGTGGAAATGGTTGTGCACGAGGTGCCCTCGGCGTGTCCCCCGGCTGCGTGGGCAGGCAGGGGACAGCCCCACGCGAGGCTGGTGCCGCGGCTGTGCCGGTGCCACAACAGTCAGATGTCGGCTGTGCGCTGATGGCTGTTTGCAGTTCCCTCTTGTGCTCTGGATATATATAAAATAACCCGAGTGTGCACAGCCAAGGCCTGAGCATGGCCTAGCCCCCTACAGCCCTCTCCTCCCTCCAGACCAGTGGCCTCCTTTCCTCTCTGCGTAGAAAAACGGAGGGTTACAAAAGCAGAACGTGATACCTGTGCTAGGGGAGCTGTTTTTCTGTTTGGAGTTTTGCCTCGATTCTTTCATCCAGGGGAAAATCTGCTTGGTGAGACTGGCGCTCGCGCTGAGGCCGGCTTTGCCGGGCGCAGCCTTGCCGCTCCCGGCCTGGTTATTGCTGTTGCTACCGGTGCTGTTGGTGACCGGATTGGAGGGTGGCGAGACGGGCGCGGACGGGTGCTGCTCCGGGGGCAGACTCGGGCGCATGCAGCTCCCGTTGAGCTCTTTACTCTTGGCGTGCGGGGCCGCGTTGCCCAGGGCCTGCAGGGAGCAGGCGGAGCGCTGGAAGTCGCCCTCCACGTGCGCGCCCGGCGGGTAGGGCTGCTGCGGCCCGTCGTAGCCGAACCCGGAGGCGCTCCCGTAGGAGTAGCCCCCAAAGAGCGTGGAGCCGTCGTAGTAGGTCGTCTTCTGCATCTCTGGGGCTCCCCGAAATGATTTTTCCAGCTACCAGGGTCTTGACACCCCTATGGCAGAACATTGGCACCCCAAGGCCACGTGACAGGCCGTTTCCAGCTGTCTATTGGAAGCTGACCTGAAAGGTTAGGAGAAAACACACAATAATAGTACCCGGCCTATGAATCCATCTTGGGCCCTGAAAAGCACATGACATGAATAGGGTCCTGCAGAACAGGGCGAACAGATGCTCGGAGCAGATTTGTGCTGCGCAGCCCGGGCAGGCTCACAAGCATCTCGCTGCAGAAGCGCTCAGCCGATTTGGGAGGGTTGTTTTCCTAGCTGTTTGCTGGCATCTTTTTTTTTTTCCCCCCCTCTCCTTTACACCATGGCACTGAGGGTGTTTAACTGCACGTATGCTTTATAAGTACCGTCCTTTCATCCATATACCTCTATTTACATCTATATTCATTTCTATGCACATATCCCCACAGTCCTGCACGCACACAGGCTCCCGTATGTAGATCTGTGTGTATGTGCAGGTCAATGCGTGTTGTGTGCACATACACGTGTCTGTGCCCACATCACCCACGCAGAAACGCTTTCTCATCCACATCCATTCAAAGCGGCGCTTCCCATGTAGAAAAGCAAGCGAGATGCTGCCTAGCCAGAAGGGAGAAGACTCGAAGAGTCAAAGGTTGCTGAGCTTACAGTAGGGCTGCTGCCTGGAATATTTGTTTTTAAATAGAGAGCAGCAAACAGTCGATATGTTTTACGCAGGTTAGCAATGTCTTGACACAGTTGGCTGCCTGGGCTGTTTACTCAGTGACTCACAACAGCTCTGGAATTTGGCGCAAATATTTTAAGCAGATTTCAGCAGGGGCAGGAATTCAAGAACGTGCTTCCTCGGCCTGGTTGTTCCTCCCGGGGAGCACAGGTTGCATTTAGCAAATAAACCCTGCGCCACTGGGCTCGTGGGTCTGGGTGCTGGGACTCCCCCTGGCCAAATGCGATTCCCGAGCAGTTTAATTCCTGCCCCCAACACACACACCGTCCTTGGAAAACAAACGCATCCCAGGCCATTTGCTCCCAACTTTGTCCCCCTTGGATTTTCATCATTCCCTATCTCTAGGTCTAAATCCATAAAGTCTAAAAATCCAGACCAAAGCATCAAACTACAAATCGAAATCTTTTTCCCTTATCTTTTTTTTCCCCATTTTTCCTTTTTTACTACTTTTTTTTCCCCCCCTTTTTTCCTTTTTTTTTTTTTTTTTAATTTTTATTTTCTCAGAGAATCCACTTTCCCTTCAACGAAACCGAGTAGAAAAACCCTGAAAAATATAGAAGAAAATATAGAATATCTTCTCTGGGAAAAAAAAGCCCTGTGAGGATCAATCAAGCAACGAACAGATTTAAGAGGCAGCAACTTCTCCCTGCAGCTCAGACTTGGTGAGAAGCTGCTGTGCTGCTTCTTAGGGTTTTCTTTTTTTTCCAAAATTTATAGCCATTATGTATTTAACTGTATCGCTTGTACATATATATATATATATGTATTTAATCGAGGCTCTTTTATTTAAAAAAAAAAGATAAACTGAGGGGCAATAAAGTGTAACGCGGTGTTTCTGAGCACGGGGTTTAAAGGGAGCCTCACAATAAGCAGCATCTTGTCCTCTC